CGGGATGAGAATCGTTTGTATTATACGGATATTTAAGATTGCCATACGTTGATTATAGCCATCGTATAAATGAAAGGTTGTTTTTAAATATGTCGGTTAATACTGTGGATAAAAGAGTTCTTTATAGTGTCTTGATAAGTTGTAACGAAAAATAAAATTCATTAATATACTAAGTTTTTCGTTATATTATTATAATATTTTATGTTTAAACAATGTTTAGCCACTAAAATTTTATTTAAAAGAAATATATGTATTGTTTAATATTATATATTTCAAGTTACGGTAAAAACCGGAATTTGACATTATAAGAAATCCAATAACGCCATTCACTCCAATCGATCACGAAAATTGTCTTTGGAAACGAACATTCGTTGATGTATACGAAAATGATAAAGAGTAGCGTTCCATGCGAAATTTCGTTTTAATTTCGTTCGTAAACGAAATTTCGTTTTCGAGAAAGCGAGTAGGCCTCCTGAATAGGTACCATTGTAAAAGGTCCCGCCGCCATTTTTTTATATTTTCGTAGAACGCAGCTCTGTCAAGTCAAGGAGCTTGAATGAAATAAAAACTTTAATATTTTTAAAGTAGGTTTTATTTGATTGAACCTATATGTTATAACAGCACGGCGCTCGATACCAAGTTAGAGGCTGTTATTTTAACAGAATAACGGGTTTTGTTATTATTTACTCATAGGCAAAGAATAGTGTTATGAAAAAATAAAACGATAGTACTTAAAAGACTTTTTAAAATCAATTTTTAAGGATTTTCAAATTGAAAATGTTTGATAGGAGTGATTATAAACAAACATATATTAGCTATAGCTCTAAATAATAATTTAGGGAACAATAATTATCGATGTCATATGAGTATTACTGTGTTTGCCAATGTTTCACTCAGTATTGTTTGGAAAATGTCTAAGTCCAGTCGGTTTAAACTTGTCGCTTGCTCTTTAGACTTTAAATTGTTAAACGTTACTTTGGTATCGTGATAAATTTTATCTCCTAAAGTTTAATAAACTTCCCCTGCACATTAAACAAGATAATAAATGAAATATTCATTAACAATACATTAAATAACGATTACTTAATTGTATCACCCACTTTTATTACAAATTTATTGTACCTCATTAAAATATAACCCAATTATATTTAAATTAGAATGTTTTGTTAATCGTTTCTTATTAATACTCGATAACTATTTTAATAACGGCATACATACCGTTGAATTAGTACGGCGTCTAGACTAAAATAAATAATTCTTAATGAAAAATGCTCTATCCACTTTGTCCCTGATGGGATGGGACTTGAACCCATGACCTTTCACAATCCGGGCAATTGTTCTAACCACAGCTACCCAGGGCCTAACAGGACTGACGCAAGGAATGAAGCATGAAAGAACGAGAGAAAAAGAGAGAACTGGAATATATGAGAAGTTAAAAATTAAAGCCTGCTACTGAGTGCGGTGCAGTGTAGGGCCAGGCCAGAGATGTTGGCCGGCCTTAATAATAAAAAAAACAGGGCAGACGAATTTTTCAAACACTTATTCCTTTTTATCTGCTACAGAGCGTATTCTCATCAATGTTCAGGAATTTTTCATTAAGAATATTTTTCAGTATTGCATTGTGTACTCAAAATTGGTCAAATATAATAAAATAAATAATTTAAAGTTGATTATGAACAATATATATAAAGCCCAAATAAACTATAATTAATAATATATCTTACAATTAGTATAGATCGAAGTTTCTTTTTAGATGTAGAGATTTTAAAATTTAGTACGCGATTAATAGCATCATTTTTGAAACTTTCTATTAATTTTGCACAAGAAAATAACCTAATGTAAATAAGCAGCTTTTATTGAAATTTTATTGATTGGAAAAAGATCACAAAGCTGGCCCAATTTTTTTTTTCTAATTGTTGTTGTACCTACCCTTTTTTATAGAGGGAACATTGACAAATATGCGAATCACTTTGTACCTAAAATTGACTTTTATGCGAGTTATTAATAAAAAACTGTTTTTGTGCCCAATGTGCCTTCTTCTAGCTCTATCCATCCCAATGATATAGACAGTGTGATTTACTGACAACCCACGGCTTGCTTTACATTACAACAAAACAAGTAACTGGGGAAAGCCCGATATCGCGATGATCAATTGTGTACTTATGTGACTTATAAAGCTGCACCAGAGAGAATGTACTGGGAATCTAGTCAGAAACAGTCACCAACACTGTTGCCGGCCTTTTTTAGCACTTTATTTTAGTTTTTTTAAACTTTTATGTATTTAAATATATCTATTTCATCTTTCGTAGCCTTAATCTAAAAAAAAATATTGTCACTTATAGCCTTGTGCCTATTGTGAGTTTGTAATCTCAATTTTAACTAAATAATCGATTCAAATTTTCAATTTCGTTAATTCAATAGTGTTAAATTGTGTACTTATGTGACTTACAAAGCTGCACCAGAAAGAATGTACCGGGAATCTAGTCAGAAACAGTCACCAACACTTTTGCCAACCTTTTTTTAGCACTTTTATTTTAGTTTTTTTACATTTTTATGTATTTAAATATACCTATTTCATGTTTGTAGCCTAAATCTAAAAAAAATATTGTCACGTATTTTGAGTTTGTAATCTCAATTCTAACTACATAACCGATTCAAATTTTCTATTTCGTTAATTCATTAGTGTTAAAGTCGTCATTGAATATTTAATGGACATTTTTTGATTTGAAGCTATGGAAAATCAGCAGCATCTTAAAATCATCAGAGACATGTCGTGGTAACCTGACGTCTGGTAGTGACATTGTATACTACAATAGGGTTGCAGGTGCTTTTATTTTATAGATATATATGATATAGATAATAAGTTCAAATCTAAAAATAAATTTAATTTTCAAAATTTCCCGCGAAAACGCCATTTCTGTCATGGCGTAGCTATAACATCACGGCCCTCTGAAACAAATATCGTTCTATGTATGCATAAGATTGAATTCTCTAAGTTCGGATGTGAGTAAGAGGGTCGTGACGTCACGCGCTGTTTGCGGTCACGTGACAACGAGCATAAAATATTTGTTTATTTGTAATTAAATTAAGCAATATTATAAATATAATAAGCATGAAAGTGTGATTATTGGTAATAATATATTAAACACTACCAGAAAAAACGTATTTTTTTTGCTGTCTACACCCGTATTTACAAAGACGGTTGTTAAAGTGAAAATATTTGTAGTGTTTAGAATAGTCATGGCAAGCTTTTATTTAACTAGACGATTTAGTTAGTGTAAGTCATATCTTGCAAGCAGGGTTACCACCTGTCTTGAATTTTCCGGGACGGTCCCGATTTCAATGATGTTGTTCTACGTCCTGATTCATTTGTCCCGATTTTTGACAAAACTTGACAAAAACATTGATATTCATTAAAAGTATAGTTTAAAAAGACTACAGGCACACATGAACCATAGGTAATCATAGTAATCACTAAGATGACCGCTTTTTATCAGGCGGACATAAGGCCCTATTTACTTCCTTAATAAAAAATAAAAATACAAAAAGACCTTTTGCCGCAGGCTTTTGATGATAATAAAAAACAATATTGTACTAAAGTTTACTTCTCATGCTATATCCCAATTTTGTTTCCCAAAACGTGGCAACCCTACCTGCAAGCCTTATTCCGGTTTTCGATTGAGGTGAAATTTTGCATCTATAACGGATTACAATGGAATAGTAGGCACTGGTCTGTTTAAAAAAAAAATATCTCGCTAATTGAATTATTAGAAATTCTCTTGCATAAACTATTAAATACCGTATAATAAAAATAAATATAACTCATAGTGTTGAAATTTCTCTTTTGTCTTGACACTTGACCTTTCACAAATTAGTGTCCATTTATATTAATACTAACTGTTCTCCCACGACTTAAGGCCCCGTAAATTATAAACTATAGCACCCGCGTATAATCTAACTTGCTGAATGAGAAAGAATTTTCACGATCGAATCAGTATTTTCAAAGAGTAGCGCCTACAAACAAACAAATTTAGAAACTTCACCTCTTAGCTACTGATGCGATCAACTAATATGATTTTCTGTAGACAATAGACAGATTACTTGTTCTCAATAAACTTTCTTCTCAATAACTAGCTGTATTCACGCAACTTTACCCGCGTAAATTATGGCCTATGTTAGTATTAGGAACCTATTTAATGCAAACAAACAAAGAATAAAATATTTTCTCTTTATTATATTAGTTTAGATATTATTTTATATTTTTATTCATTGACAATACTATCTCTTTTGTAAAGATTGTCAATGAAATGCTCCGAACATAGTTCAAGGCAGGCCTTCACGAGAAATATATTACATTTATGTAGGCACGTATATAGGCATTATAAGAGAAAACCCGGTTTTACCAACGGCCGTGATGAATTGCTGTCAATTACAAGATGCCTGCAGAGAGAGGGCTTTGCACTATTCTTACTATATATCAAGTGTAGAGACGTTTTCCTTATCGAGTTGCAAGGGCATTAACGACGTATATTCTGTGACGTTGCTACGGCATTCCAGAGTTTATTGAAACGAATTAAAGTATATTTCTTAATGTTATGTTATAAATGCTATGTCAATTTTAGTTTATAAGTTAGACTTGTCATAGCATTGTTAAATTATAGTAGCAGCAATACTAAATTATATGATTTAAATACTGGACAATGAAACAGTATGTGGGCACAGTTCAGTAAAATTGGCGTTGAGTCATGAAAACTCAAAAACTTGTTAGGTAGGTACATTTTCTTCTACAAATAATTAATTGAAGATAAGAACCAGTAGGTCCTGAGATAAGATCATTTAACTAAACAAACAAACTCTTTAGCTTTATAAGTTAAAATAATTAACAAATAAATGTTTTGTTTTAATTAAACTCTTATATCTACTAACATAGCAGTAAGAAACGAAAAAGGAATTTCTTATTAGACTTATAAATGTTATGACACAATTTTAGTGATGCGTTGATGTCTTTTAGCGGTATGTAAAATGCGCAATTAAAATGTCAACTTTTTCCTTAAGAGAAAATTATTCTGCATATACAATGCAATTTATTCCGCATACGCCAGCGGAGGGTGGCGTAGTAAATGAGCAACTTTCGCAATGGTCGGTCACGGAATTAAGATATTAGTCTCGGCTGCATTTGTAATCGATAATACCTACCATAGGAGCCAGTGTGGAGAGTCATGGCCCATCCTCCTTAACCATTCTCAAGGAAGGCTTCAGCCCCTGTAGTGGAGACGTAAAAAGGCTGACGATGATGACAAAGTAAATTTTTTTATTAAAAATTAAAAACTACAAGTTAAAGTCTTATTTTAACACTATTCCAAGCATTGAGGTTATACATATTTCTGATGAGATTGCCCAAAGAACGAGAATTCTGAGAAAACCTATTTGGTTATCAATTTGAATTATAATAAATGATTAATTAATAAAGTTTTGCATTAATTCCTTAGTGCGTGACATATTACTAAGGCCGAATGTATTTTAGGATTGCGTAAGTAATCCAAAGGAAAATGCGGAAAAAAAAGAAAAGAAATAGTTCTGTACAGGTAGAAGACTCTTGGCGGAAAGGCCTATGTACCTCGCCCAAAGAATTAGTCGGCTGTTCAAAGAAGAAACACTCTCAGGCTTCTATGCTTCTTATCTGTCGGCAATAAATTATGGATATTTTTTCTTTTTTTATATATTATTATATTATTATATTTAATAATCAAATAAATTAATAATTAAATATCCAATAAATTGCTACATTACATAAGGGTCGGGTACCGAAAGTGTCCATAAAAAGTTACAAAAAGAACGACTTACGACGAACAAAATGCGTAAAAGCTGGATTTAATAAAGTTTTGATCACCTATCAATCAGCCGCCAATTGCAGACGAAAATGACAAATAATGAAGTTGTCTTCCGTTTATTTCTAGAACTACGTGGGTCAGCTGGAACCACTGGATCCGCAGCGGGGCCTTCAGCGGTACAACCAGGGCGCCCCCCTCGTATACCGAGTACACTTTCCTGTAACGTCACCGGTGCCACGGCTCTACTCGCTCGTGGCCAATGACCGGCAAATCTGCTACGGGCCCATGGGTTAGTGTCACTATGTATTATTAGAAAATCAGCAACACAGCGTTGTGTATGTAATAATACCTTTATTAAATGCCTTATGAGGTACATTTGATCGAATCTTTATGCTGTGATAACGCTGTACTCAACGTTGAGTTCGACGCTGATTTTTTAAATAGAATATTAAGAATAGCACTGCCAAGTTGTTGAGGAAACCATCATCGTATTCCATCATCTATAATTTTTTTGGCCCTAATTGTTGTTACAGATAAGCCATTTATAGATATTAAATTTTTTTATCGCTCGTTTGCATGCGTCAAAGAAACTTCAAACGAATCTTTTGAATTTATAAATCATCACGAGATTCAACTGTGCCCAATTAAGTTAATTAACGATTGGTTGTGCAAGAAAATACTGTTTTGTGTACATAAGGAACAAAATAGTATTTGACAGATAGATAATCATTATGATCACATTAAATATATTGTTATTCTTTTTTCAAATGCTTGTTAGTATTTTTAAATACTTTTTTATTTATATAATAACTTAATACATATTGAATGAATAAAATACACTTTTTGTAGTACATATGCTTAGGGTTATGTAACATTAGTACCTACACCTAAAAATTCCTAAATCGGAATGTAACAGTCAGTTCATTCAGCATCTCGCTAAAAATCATCTTCTTCCAGGTAACTTTGATACAAAAAATACTTTTGTTAAATTAACAAATATGTACTAGGAATTTTTAAACGAAAATTTGAAATAATAGTTACGGTTTATGGTAATTCTTTTCTCTATACAGACATTTGTTCCAACTTTCTTTTCTACGACATTTTAAGTATAAAATTTAAATAAATTTCAGACTATCCCGGTCCAAATCAATATGTGAGCACAATAAGCCTTCAGCACGCGTTGTTCCTGCGAGGAGGGGTCAACAGCATTTATCCCGTGGACCAGCAAATCAACTTTGTAAAACCTAATTCAGATTATGAGTCGCCAGGAGATACACAGTACTTCAGTTACTCTGACGACGGTACAGGTAATTACTGATATTTATAGGAGCAGGCGCTCCATAACAGAGGGTACCACGTTCGGTCTGTGATGCGGAAGTTAAACAACTTTCGCAAAAACTGTTTCTTGGAAATTATTATCTTAGTCTCCTCCGTACTTCGGAAGGCACGTTAACACCATCTATTCACAAGGAAGGACTGTACCTCAGTGATAGGGACAACAGGCTGGTGATTAACTAAAAATACTTGCAATTTTTATTTGAAGTTTTGTATAACTTGATATGCGGTTCACTACATCATTTGGCTCTAAAAACCATATTTATGATACGTTTGATCTCATTTCAAATTAGTCATGTTATAAAAATATTAATTGAATTATAAACAAACCCTTAGTTGTACATGCCATTTTACACGTATTCAAAAGTTATATTAAAGCTTATTTAATTTACAGTAGGTATTCAATCCTTCGTGGTGGATAAAAACGGAGGTGCACCAGTACGACCGAACCAACAAAATCGACCAAATCAACCAAACTATGATATATATTACACAGAAAGGACAACACAACAACCGATATACAATCAATTTACAACGCAACGAAAACCGATTTTCAATCCGCACACGACTCAACCGCCGCCACCATTTGAATACAACCCGTATACAACACAGCAACAACAACCACAACCGGATTACAACCCATATACGACACAACAACAACAATCTCAACCAGATTACAATCGATATACGACACAGCGACAACCGCCGCCAGATTACAACCCGTATACAACAGAACCATCACAACAACCACCGCCAGATTACAACCCTTACACGACAAAACAGCCACCGCAACCACCGCCTGATTTCAATCCGTATACAACTGAACGAGCACCACCACAACCACCTCGTCAGCCTTCCTTGTAAGTTATTTTGAGTAACATACGGTCAGTTGCACAAACGTACATTAAGGTTTAATGACGCCTTTAAGCACTAATGAATGTCAAATTTGTATATGGGTAATGTCGCTTTAAACAAATGAATATTTTAATGGACGTTTGTGCAACTAGCTGATAGACTCGTAAGCACCAAGCAATTAATAAGGGCATGTTTCATGATACTCGCATTTCTTTCATCAATGAAGTTCAAATTGTTTTGCTCCAAGTAGCTTGTAGTGTTATTCATAATATAAGCCGTTATGAAAGATGCGTTTATTATTAATTGGTCCTACAACGAATGGAGTATCTCAAAGATTAAATTATAATACACCATTTTAAACTTTCACCTCATGGATGTCCCGCTTCGTTTAATAATAAAAACCACAATTTCTTTGTTTAGAGTTTATTACTTTATACATACAGCTTCGTTTGAAGTGTAAGTCCTGAAGAGAAAATTAATTACAAAACTGAAAACTTTCGGAAAATAAAGACATAGCTATTAAGCTTAAGGACTATGCCTATTGTTACCGAGGTTGTTGGGTAACAATCGACACTGTCCAATGAAATATAATTTTTTGGCGATTTAATATTGTAAAATGAATTGGTCATGGTCTTTAGACGTATTTCGCATTAAATTTTCCTTAGTATACAATTCACCAATGTGGGGAATTCCCATGTATCTGCGGTTAGCGTTACCGCCTATACTGTAGATTTACGAACACATCATGACACATATCACTAAGCCACTCATCATGCTTCTCGTTTAAAATTTCTCTTAACGGTAAAGATATTTTTATAACCTGTTTGAAATCTTTTGTTCGTTATTGTCTCGGAAAACCGTACCTATATATTTATTTGATTGGTATAAATATATTCAACAATAGTCATTAAAATTACTTATCTAAACACTGTCTAAAAATACCTATACTAAATAAAAAATATCTCCCAGATCATTAGCAACAGGTACGGTTCCCAGAAGGCTGCGAGCGTTTTCTCTTTGAATAGCCTAACTAATTGTTTGGGCGAGGTACAAACCAGCCTTCTGATCACCTGACTTGTCAAAAAGTTTCTTTTTTAACTCTTGATAAAGACGATGGGCTCCAGGGCCCCATGGACCCATCGTTTCGACGCCAAACGACTCAAATATGTAGGTATTACTTATACCTGAATATTTTCGCTGAATGAAATATTTTTACAAATATTTAAACTTTCTATGAAAATTTGTTGTAATTATTTTATTTGATCAATTTCGCATTCAAATTCTATAGTGAAAAATATTTTTAATTAAAAATGCTTAACAAATCCACTTTGTCCCTAGCACTCTGAGATGAAACTCAAACCCATGACCTTTCGCCAGGAATGCAAAAATTGATCAAATATATTAAATTAGTACAAATTTTCATGTTTATAGAAAGTTTAAATATTTGCAAAAATATTTCTTTCGGTTGTTTGGGTGGATCGGATTGCCTTTATATTGATAAAAATACGTTCTGAAGTATCAGTATCAAGTATCAATAGTAGCGAAAAACTAACAAGTGCTTGAAAAAGTCGTCGTTTCTGTTAGGTCTTGGGTAGCTCACTGGTTAGAGCAGTCGCCCTGATTACGAAAGATCACGGGTCCGAGTCCCATCTCAGAGTACCAAGGACAAAGTGGATTTTTTTATTAACACAGCAAGAAAGTTTTAGTGGGTCAATTTTCTTTTTTTAAATCATAGCATCTTCTGAAAACATCTCTAAAAAGATGATTTGAAATAAAATTGATAAGCTTTAATTAGATTAGAATTGAGCACAAATTGTTTACCTAATTTTTAAACTAATATTTAATGCCACAAAAACATTATCATTCTATTAAAATATAACGATTATGTTTTTTGCGATCAAAGCATAGTTCTCAGATATTGTATTTTTTCTAGGCCATTTAACCCACCTAGTACCCAAAGTGGGCAGGGCTTCGCCCCCGTACAGTGTGGTGTAGTAGCCGGTGGCAATGAAAGGCAACCTCTCATCCACAACGGACAGAACTACGAGCGAGGAGCAATACCCTGGCTGATCGCCATTTATAAGAGGAAGGACGGCAGTCTCACATTCAATTGCGCTGGCACGTTAATATCTGATAGACACATTGTCACCGGTAAGGATATAACGGATATGAAAGTTAATTTATTTTAAGTTTCTTAATTTTTATTATTTGATGATCATTTGTCCCAAATGGAATTAAATTCCTGCTTTGGTATTATGTTAAAATAAAGCGTCGAACACAGCGCTGTCGCTGTATTATAAATTGAAATAAAACCTTTCTTACCTTTTGAAATAGATTTTATGGTTTCACCCCAGAGATGGTGACCATCTCTAAGGTGCTTCCTAGAGTCCATATTTATCGAAATGGTACATCGATTTTAGTTACTCGCAGCATCAAATATATTTAATCACAAATAATATAAATCTTTCAGCCGCTCATTGCATACTGTTGAAGAATTCCATGACCTCCATCAAAGATATTGTAGTAAAGATAGGCGTCTACAATTTGGAGGATTGGGGTGATGACCAGATTATCACGAGAACATTGGAGTCTGCCGTGATACACGAGTCGTACAATTCTTCCACTCTTGCAAGTAAGTACGTCATTTATTCTACCAATGACATCAATAAAATACAAAATATTGTCAGCTATACTCATTGGCAAAGTCAATGTAAGGACATGAAAATGCGTGATTTAGTCTTCTTCTGTTGGTAAAGTTAAGTTATTATCATAGATTTACTATATTTAATAGAGTATAGGGAAAAGATTAAGTGTGCCAAAAGTTCCCGCTCGCGAAGGGCATAAATTGTCCCAAGAATGCGGTGGGTAGATGAAATAACATATTACTTTTAAGATCCTATCTCCATTGGGAAGGTAAACTGTAGGGTTTTAGTGTCTATACTTTGGAAGATCGAGAAAGCTGACTGTCTATAATGTTCATCGAATGACCTCACAACTGAAAGTTTCAACTACATAAACACGTCATTCGCCAGGAGGTTTTAATCAAAGTCCTTCGTTATTTTATATTTGGTATTCTTTTCATTTCTAACTTTACTCGTTTTATCTAAAAACTCGAATGCATTTCCCAAGCAGGAATTTAGATATGTCAAGCAAATCCCCAATCACGGTTATTGATTAAGGATACGAGTATTTTATTAATTCTATTATTAGTGTTCACTTTGTTTTTCAGATGATCTCGCGGTGTTCACTCTGGACAAAACTGTAGACTACAGCATTAACATAAGGCCAGCTTGCCTCTGGGATGGACAGTCTGACTTAAACAGGATTGTTGGAGCATCTGGAGTTGTAAGTACAATTACAATTCTGTGTATTGAATATAATACATAGTGGATATAATTATATTTTTTCTATTATATGTGTATTAGTAGTAGTTAGTACAACAGTCGTAAAAAAATACTTTCCGTAGTGCTACTGACGGCACAACTGGCACCACCACATTCAACAAAGGGAACATATGGCCTCCTCCTTTTCTATTTTGAAGTTAGTTAAAAATGAGGTTTATTCTACGTTAGTAATATTACTAAATATATTACTGGTTTATCAAAATAATACAAAATGTGGAATTTGATGAGTATACAATATTCCACATTTTTAGTCCTGAAATCACCTGAAATCATCTTGGAAACCTAAATCTACAAGGTTTTTATTTTTTGTTTCTTTAAATCACTTCGGTAAAAATGTTACACTAAAGTGTTTTAAATTTTTTAATAATATGTTTCTATAAATTACCAGCTTTATTGTACGTGTATTTCTTTTTATTTTAAATCGAACATAAATAAATATACATGTTCGGTTCGCATAGCATGACGAACTCGAAAGACTCGAGAAACTAACGAGGGGTACAATGAGATAGTGTTTGGGAATATCCCATTAATAACTTATTACAACTAATAATTTATTACACATGAAAATTAAATGAAAGTATAAAACAAAACGACGAGCCAGAACCATAGGTACAGCACTGTATGAAAACAATTAAAAGATAAGGTACATAAAGAGCGATATTAACCGGTTAATCTTCCTTGTTTTAATTTTGGTAGGAAACTTACTCATTTTCTTTTAATTTCATATATATTTATTTATATTAGTATTAGCAGTATAAGTCGATCAAAGCTCCTGTATGAATTTTCATCTTACAATGTAATAGGATTCTAATGCTACAAAAACCTCTCATAGGCTTTACGTAATGTGATTTCTCAGGTGGCAGGCTGGGGAAGCACAGAGCTGGGACCGGGCGGGCACGGTGTCCCCAGGATGGTCCGCATACCAGTAGTCAGCACCTCAATGTGCCGCGCAAGCAAACCCGACTTCCACAAACTCACTTCGGATACCACTTTTTGCGCAGGTATGTTCAAAGAGTATGTTCTGCCCTGCCCATATAGTTTTACTGTTATGCTATTTACTATCGGTCCTTATAGCAACAATTCACTCATTCGACTTTCACAAGTGCTTTGTAACATCCTAGACTGAAAAAATGATTTTGGTTTGATTTACATAATATAACGTGTCGGTAACGAGACCGTGATAAAAATTAAAAAAACATTCTGTCCTTATGGCACAGGTGATCGAAACGGAATTGGCCCTTGCTTAGGAGACTCTGGAGGAGGACTGTACATTCTGGACAGCGGACGATGGCGGCTGAGGGGTGTAGTGTCCGTGTCACTAAGGCCCGACAGCGGCGAGAACACGTGCGACCTCAACCAGTTCATAGTGTTCACTGACGCCGCCAAATATACCACGTGGATTAGGAATATTGTAAAGTCTAGTCAAATCTGAAGCGACGTATAAAATTTTACGAGGACGTAATACCTACAGTGGGTCATTTATCAAAAAACGTTTAGCAACTTGTAACCACAGTAGTGGCTATCAGTAACTGCATTGAAATCTATTTGATAGATATTGGATCTAATCAAAATGCATATAACATTGTGTACTTTATTGAACTTTGAGTGCGATGCAGTATTGAACATTCAGTGTATTTTGATGGAATCCAGTGTCAACCTAAGACCAAGCCATTGCAGTTACACGGTAGGGCTTTAGAACCGCACGCATAGCATGCTTGAAATGGAACTGACTAAGTCATGCATGACATTTAAAAACATAAGAAGACGCGTACACCAAAACCGCTTTAAAAAAAAAAGTCTTAATAACCTGGAAAATAATGAGAAAAGTTTATTATATTTCTGAGAGTTTTATTATAGTTAAAAAGAGAATTTATACAATTTACTGATTAGAAAACATCACAAACTTACTCCTTTAATTAACAACGTTTGAGCTTTTTTTATTATTAAAATTTTATAAATATGAAGTCACCATGTGCCTAGAGCTATGTGTAACACTTTTTCAATACTTATAATGGATTGTGAATACTTAATTGATTAAAAAATACAAGGTATTGTCCATCCCCTGCCAGTATCCATCTTTTTGTCGGACAGAACGAGATAGTAAAGGACAATCTTTTGTCTTTACGCCTAGCCCTAACTCTCGTCTACGAGTTATATGGACATACAGTGTAATGGCACGGAGTCATGGAATTTGTGTCTATTGACATTATATGTATTAAGATTATGAATATTTCGCAATATTTGTCATGCTCACATTGACAATATCTACTCGCTCTCAATCCAAAAAAGTAACAATGTTTCTTGAGTTCTTCATGCTACACGTGCACTGGTTGTGGAAGTTGCTAAATACGTGGACTCTTGATAATATTATGAAATCTTAAATAGAACTTTTTAGTTTAATTTTAATAGTGTACCTTACATCAGAATTGGCAATATTGCCTTAGTTATCTTTTATTAAATGAAATAGTATACTGTCCATCTGTATTCTATCTTTAACGAATTGAATTTTTTTGAATTGAGGTTTAAAATCAAGTGGAGATTATTGGATAGTTTTGTTTTACCAGACGCGCTGTTGACTGTATCTAACAGGTATACCAAAGTTGACAAGGTTTAAGGACAAGAACAACCACATTAGGTTCGAACTATAAAAATATAACGTTGTTTGTTCGAATTGTAGGGCAGATGACCCGGTTTTGATCATTTATAGATAGATTATGAAGGGTTTTGGCCATTTTAAAGCAATTGACGGTATTAGTTTTCCCATAATGTTACGTTTTAAAAACTGCGTACGGTAATGTAATGTAATTTTTTACCCCTTAGATTAAATTTGCATAAACGTTAGTTGAAGTGCTAAATAATTCAAAGGGTGACAAAACCGGGTCTTTTGCCTTTGTCGATATTTTACTGTACCTAACCTTTTTTAAACAATTGACTAAGTACCCACATTATTTCCATTTTTTTGTAAATATTACGAATGTTATTAATAAATACTCTTTATAATTCTTCTGCTTGAAGATGATACTCATATAGCTGATTCGTTTTTGCTCTTACATAACACCGTAAATGTGATAGGGGTAGGTAATTTTACTGTTTAATGATACTTATAACTTAGGTTTTTTTTATTAAATTAATTAGAATAGCTATGAGTAACTATAATAGGTAAAATAATATTTATTTTCCCATATTTGTGTATAAGTAGTAACCATATACCTATTGAATATTTAAAAAGCTTGATTGAAAAATACTTGTGTAATAAAATAGGTGCCATAATATTAAAAAAAATGAAATAGATGTAAACAAATTGTAACTTCCAATTCATCACAATTACATTTATTTATTCATTGATTGACGTTTTCTTTCCTTTTTTCTTCCTTATCTTCGCCTATGTAAGTTAAGACCTATGTCACATGCGCATAACATGTAACAAGTGCTTGAAAAATTCGACACGGCAGTCCTAGCTCAAAGGTTAGAGCAGTCACCCGGATTGCGAAAGGTTATAGGTTCGAGTCCCCATCTCGGGGTACCTGGGGCTGGTAATTTGTTAAATAAAATACGTGAGATAGTTTCTTTGTCTATAACAAATTTCATATGAATGTATGACTTAGATTCTCTAACTATTGAATTTAAGAACAGCACGTGTTTGTCATTAGTACCCCAAGATTTGGCTGTATGCCTTAATTCCTTCGCCTGTCCCATGGACGAAATTACTACTAGGTACTAGAGGTGGAAATAACTGCTTGAAATTTTTAAGTGTTGTTAATAATAATAATAATAATTCATTTATTGCATGGCACATAGTAAAACAGGAGTTATTATTAGGTACAGTTTATGTGACACCCTGTAAGGGTGTAGTAAATTTAAGTTGTTACGTTGTACGATTTATAATAAGCGTTTTTAAAAACTGCTTATTGCTTAAACGCTTTTTTTTCAGCTGACGTTTGGAAATCGTTATAATAAGCGCGCAACATTGTGTTATAACTACATAGTATAAAACAAAAATCGCTTCCTCTGTCCCTATATCCCTCATCATCATCATCATCAATTAAGCCGAGAGACGCCCACTGCTGGGCATAGGCCTCCCCCAAAGATCTCCAAAGCTATCGGTCCTGCGCCTCCCGCATCCAGCGGCTTCTCGCGATCTTCACCAGATCGTCGGTCCACCTTGTTGGGGGCCTCCCAACACTACGTCTCCCGGTACGCGGTCGCCACTCCAGAACCTTACCTCCCCAACGGCCGTCAGTCCTGCGAGCGATGTGCCTTGCCCACTGCCACTTGAGGGTCGCAATTCTTTGGGCTATGTTGGTGACTTTCGTTCTTCATCGGATCTCATCATTTCTGATTCGATCTCGCAAAGAAACTCCGAGCATAGCCCTTTCCATTGCCTTCTGAGCGACTTTGAGCTTCCTTAAAAGGCCCATCGTAAGCAGCCACGTCTCAGTACCCTATGTCATCACTGGCAACACGCACGAATTGAAGACTTACGTCTTGAGACACTGCGGTAGATGTTCCCAGAATCCACTGCGTAGCTTCCCGAATGCTGCCCAGCCGAGTTGGATCCGTCGATTTACCTCTCTCTGGAAGTTAGACTTACCTAATCGGACTATTTGCCCCAGGTAAACGTACTCGTCGACAGCTTCCAGTGTAGAGCCTCCAACATTCACTGGAGTGGGTACGACATGGGAGTTTGACATTATTTTTGTCTTCTCCATGTTCATTTTAAGACCCACTTGCTGGGAAACTCTACAGAGGTCTTCGAGCATTGTGCCTAGATCTTCCATGGTCTCAGCCATGACTACGATATCATCAGCGAAACGAAGTGTTTCGGCGATATAACATCGCCCTGTCTCACTGCACACCGAAGTCGTATTGCTTTCGAGTTTTGGTCCTGGAGCCGAACTGACATGGTGGCGTTTTCATACAGTGACTGCAGCACTTGGATGTATCGATAGTCTATTTGGCACCTCTGGAGCGATCTAAGCACGGCCCAGGTCTCGACGGAGTCAAAGGCTTTCTCATAGTCCACAAACACCAAGCACAGTGGCAGATTATACTCCTCGGTCTGCTGTATAATCTGTCGCAGCGTATGAATGTGGTCTATGGTACTGTAACCTTTTCGGAAACCGGCTTGTTCAGGAGGCTGGAAGTCGTCAAATCTACGTGCGAGACGATTCATGATGACTCTCGAAAACAGCTTGCACATATGATTCAGAAGCGTGATGGGTCTGTAATTCTTCAATTAGGTCCTGTCACCCTTTTTGAAGAAAAGCACCACCACGCCCCTGTGCCATGCTTCTGGCGTCTTGCCCTTGAGTATGGCGGAGTTAAATAGGTGACTCGTACAGGTGAGGTTGGCTTGGGATCCGTTAGATGATGTTCGGACCCCCTTACACCCCCCTTTATCCCTATGTTTGGTTAAATATTTAAAACTACGCAACGGATTTTGATGCGGTTTTTTTTTCATAGATAGGGTGATTCAAAAGGAAGTTTTTTATGTATAATACAAGACCACAATACTATTACCGTTTACCTCGACATTTTATTTACACAATCTTAAAACTATTGCATTTCAATAATATTTAGAATGTTTTATATGCACACCATCACTTCATAACAAAACTTATTTACATTGTTTATTTAGGAATCAACAAAAGTCATTATTTAAGCAGCACTTTATTTACGCACACAATTAAACTGACGCAATTAATTAACATTCAACACAACGTGCACTTACTTCAACAACGAAAAGCGTACTGCTTTTTTAAGTTCCGTTTAAAAAAGCGTTTGGATTAACCAACCAAAAAAGTTGTTGCAAAAAGTCTAGATGGATATTACGCGTTAAGTGCTGCGCTCTAATAGAAAAATGCCGAAACAGAAAAATTGATTGAAGCTAGTAGTTATATCTTGATAAATGGCGGGACGTACAATTAGCATTAGCATACTTTTCTTCTAAGTGAAAAAGCATTTTTGCACTTATTTAGAAAAGCATGCTTAATTAAGTGCTTTTCGTTTAAACGTCCATCTCTAACTACTACTGTCATTAGTACTGCGAAAAACGTTTCTTTCTAAAGATTGGATCAATTGCGTCTTAATCAGCATAAAGATTCGAATCAATTAATGCTTCATTTGATCATTTCGGTATAAGTGAAAGGTACCTAAATAATGACCTGACAGGGTCATTTTACATAAACCATAATAAATTGAGGCAAGACGAAAGCATTTTTTTCCTACTATCGGATTTAGGTACAGCATTATTCACAATAGCTAAACATATCTGTGACATAAGGATAAAATTACTGATAATGTTCTCGTACTTGCTGTTTAAATTTATAATCGTGCTATTTTTATGCTATTTAAATCAGCTTCAAGCGATTACAAAGATAGACCAATGGTTGGCGCCATTTCGTAAACAAATCGAAATTAGTGCCGTGTAAGCGGAGAATTAATATGCTAAATGAACTGTACGATGGCATTTAAATCAGCCATTCTATTGTAAGTTTTAAATGTCATGATTTAACTATACTCATTGTAAGATCTGTTGGCTGTATTGTATATATACTCGTACTTACTAGCTTTTATTTTATGCACGTGGTATATTAATTTATACTTATCTTATTAATCGTCTAAAAACAAATTTTAATTATGACAAATTTCCATGCAGACTTTCATCCTCTATTTCCACCTATTTTTCGTGATAAAAGGTAGCCTATGTCCTTTCTTAAGGTGAAGTCTATTTCTATATTAATTTCCATTAAGATGGGTTCAATTGTTTAGGCGTTTAAGCGTAATAACAGTTATTTGTCTTACCTTGAGTTATCGATAATTTTAATATTGCATTTTATAATCTACAATAAATATCGATTATTATTATATCAAAAATTAACAATATCGCCGAAATAAATATCAATTATTCATAAATCGATTACTTTTTTTATCAAGCCTACTCCGCAAGCTCATGAATTTTACGGATCGCGGTCACAGCAGTGCACAAGCGTAAATACGTTTTTCATTGCCGCCATCACGGACCTGAAAAAACCGGTCCGAAATAGAGAAAAGTAATATCCCGGACGGTAAAATTCCTGACTACTGAAATTCCACAGGCTAGTATTACCTACATATGCCCTGACATATCGGACCGGAAAAAATCGGACCGCCGGACCTAAAAATTCAGTGTAGTGCACAAGCGCCCTAAATTGGTATTGGTATTTTTGTCCACGGAAAAAAGCATTAAAAACATAACAATAAAAATCGATTTTTGCTCTCTAAACCTTGATCATAATTATTAAAACACAACTTTGACTGATTTATCATATATTTTAAAAACTGTTTTCTTTTACATAAAATTTTCACAACAACCTTTAGTACTCCATTCCCGCCCAAAATCAACTTATCATCCGTCAATGTCAGCTTCAAAGGTGACAATCCACTGACAGATAGTGCTTCCACTAATACAATCGATAAATATTGATGTCCGTGTATTCGATAAAGAGTATCGTAGTCTAACATAATCTATGTATGATTCCAAAACATTTGTTACCGACACACGACTCGATGTCGCCTTAACCTTTCCGAACAGTACCTCAGTTCTGAGATGTCCAGTACATTCGTGTCAATGAGCGCCACTAGTCTACTGATTTATTCGAAGCAAACTGTCATTATCAGCTGTCTATTATTGTTTAATGTACCTACTACATACCTACTAAGTCTGTGCCTACTACTTGCATTTTCGCGCGCGTTTGCATACTAGTTGTTTAATTCATTGACCTAAAAGTTCTGTTGATCGGTACTGTAAAAATAACATTGCTAACAGGTTAAGAAAAAGTGTTCTGTGGGTTAAGACAACATAATGTCTTGGAATAAAATTATATGTAGTCATAAAGAATTGCAATTATTTGGTACGCTAAACGGTGGACAGAGTTTCAGGTAATTTTTATATCAAATAAAATATGCCTTGCCAAACTAAAACAAACTTAAAGATCCTGTGAATTAACATATTTATCAGCACCGAAAAAATTTGATTCTGAATAAACCAACTCAATTAGAAACAAGAAATGTAGTTTTTTATGAGCTGGTTACTTTCCAGGATTTCAAGCCCCGATTATTTTACCCATCAAGCCAACATAAATTGAAAGTTCATTTACAGTTTCTGAATTTAATAACTCTAGTTATAGTAATGTCATAATAAATATTTTTTCTTTACAGATGGAATTATGATAAGATTAATGATGAATGGGTAGGAGTTTTTTCAAGAACAGTTTGGAAATTAAAACAAAATGATGATCACATACAGTATCAAGTAATTGGTTCACTAATAAAAGAATTTGACACAAAAGATAGTATTAGTTATGAAAAACTGCTTAAAGACTATTTCAGACTAGACTTAAATTTAGTAAAATATTACAAAGAGTGGTCTGAAAAAGATGAGCTTTTCCAAACAGCCTGTCAACAGTTTTATGGCATAAGGATGCTTCGTCAGGAACCGGTAGAGAATTTGTTTTCATTTATTTGCAGTCAAAATAATCATATATCAAGGTAATTATCTTCCAAATAAATACACTTATTAAAATTACTCTTGAATCAACCAATGTTTTTATCCTTAGCAGATTTAGTTCACACTGACACTGATGAGATACATCTTTATTATTATATTATTTAAAAAAATGCTAAATAGCTTTAGGATCCTTTTACATCAAAACAAGCCGCCACATATTAATTAGAGTTGCTACATCTTCATAAAATTATATCTGAAAAAAATGTGATGTTTTTTATTAATTTTGTGTTACAGGATCTCAAGTATGGTTGAAAAATTATGTACACATTACGGTGATGAAATATGCACAACAGATGGCGTGACTTACTTCTCATTCCCTCAAGTTGAAAAATTGGCAGTTTGTGATGTAAGTATGATAACATTTCTTATAATCTCAATTATATTTATAAATGCTGCAACTCTACTGTAGTTTTGGATAAAGCAATAAATCGTGATCTTAATAATAAAACAGGGGCCTAAATGTCTCATTATAAAATCTATCACAATCCTTTCCAATGACACATTAAAAAAATATTTCACAAACTTCAGGCTACAAGTACTTGTCATAAGATAGCAATTGCTATGGTTTTTATGACTATTTGACCTTTACTCTTTATACCACATATATTTTTGATTCAATCTCCTCCTCTCTCCCCCTCCATTTTGAACCTTACGTGATTAAGGCAAAACACAATTTTTAATGCATTTTTTTTTCTGATATAAATTTTATAATTTTTTGAAAATTAAAGTGAAATTCGATTATGGATATATTTTGTGATAAATTAACGTGCTTCTTTGTGTACATTTGGTTAATGACGACTCTGTATCATATTTAACTTCATACAGTAATTTTTAAATCTTTAGGTAGAATCTAAATTGAGGCAATTGAGTTTTGGCTACAGGGCGAAGTTTATACAGAAGTCAGCAGCACAGATAGTTGAGTGGGGTGGCGAGCGATGGTTCAACAATCTGCAAGACATGAAATATAAAGATGCAAAACAAGAACTCATGAAGTTACATGGCATTGGTCCTAAGGTAATCATTTAATATACATCAAGGGCTTGGTGATCTAGTGTTACAAACAACTAAACGCAGTACTTTGCCAAAACAATACAGAGGTATATGCATAGCAGTTATCTGTCACCTGATGGACGGACCAACTAAAATATTGCCATAATTTTAATTTTCTTATATAATGTAATAGCTGATTTCCCACTTCACCTGTGCACCTGCATTTGATATACCTTACTGCAGGTAATAATATTTTTTAAATCAATCCAGTAACTTGGAAGTCCTTTTAATGTAATCAATCAAATCTCTCTGTTTAATAATATTGGTATAGATAAAAAACAAAGAAATTATTATTAGCTGAATCAATACCAAACAATCCAGAGAAACAAAACACAATCCAACTTGTATAGATACACAAATAATATTATAAGGAGGAATTATTTGATATCTATAAAAGTAAGCGCGGGTAGGGGGGAGGGTTGTGTAAACGCAATATGAAATTTGTCTCGGTTGAAAAAATATATCGACCCGGGCCTGAGACGATGAGGTTTTGTATGTTGAAGTAATAAGGGTACATAAGTAAGTACCCAGTGCATATTGAAATATGTTGAAGGGGACATACTTTATAAAAATAGGCAAAATTAAAAAAAAAATGTACAGCTCAGACCATGCGGTCTGATTAATTATGGAATACGGTGGCTCAGCACGTCACTGAAGATGTCATGAAACACAACTCAGAGTATTAAAATGGCTGAAATTCCGTAAATTGCTTATTTACTATCAGGTATTCCACCACCTGACCTCCACAGGTACTGAGTGATGTAACTCTTAGTACATCAACATACTGAAATATCAAGACATAGAAAGTTATTGCACAGATTTGTCACGAGCTCTCTGTTTTATATATTGCTCGGTGTGGATCCTTTTTATTGTTTTGACTAAAATCAATTTTATAATTTGTTTGTTCTTTTTCAGGTGGCCGATTGCATATGTCTAATGTCACTGAATCATTTAGACGCACTGCCTGTTGACACGCACGTGTACCAAATTGCTGCACAAAATTACTTGCCTCATTTGAGAGGGAAAAAGAATGTCACAGACAAGATGTATACAGAAATAGGTGACCACTTCAGAAAACTGTATGGCGATATGGCGGGCTGGGCACACACTGTAAGTAGTATATATGTTAAATTATAAACTCAGCTGAAGTATAAACTTTTTTTGAATTCCAAAAATGTTATCCTTCCATACAAACTTTGAACCAATGTTTCACCCCTTTAGAAGTAGAAAAGGGAATATGCATCTGATTCAAAAAAGGGTAGGTATTTAACCTTAGTTTGAGACATTATATGATTTACATATATATGAAAACGATTCAATGAATTATACTGTAATCTAATAATTAATTTTAGGTTTTATTTTGTGCGGATTTGAAGAAATTTCAACAGAATGACGATATTAAATGTGAAAGTCAAAAGAAGAGACGAAAAAAATAAAGCTTTGAAAAAAATCAATGTTTCGATATGGTAATTTTAAGAAATTAAATAAATTTCAATTTTATAATTTTTTATTTTTTTACTTTATTAATATGGTAATTACAAAAGGTTATCTTACAAATTTATATTATAAAGGTATAAGTCAAATAATGTTGATTATTCATAGTACAACATGAAAGATTAAGCATAGTCTGTATGAATATCTTTTAACATAGTGACATTTAATTTTAACGGGAATCGTTATCTGAAACCGTTTGCAAAAATAAGAACATTATTTAAATAGGTATATTCAAATAAATACCATAATGTACACACGTCATGTTATCAAAATATGTCAAATTTCTCGTGTTGATTTTAAACTCTACCCTCAAAACATTAAGGTTTAATATTGAGTGGAGAAATTTGACAATATGTATAACCTGACTCGCAGTTGAGTATAAAAGTCATAATCACCCCACATTTACTTTTAGATCATTGAAATACAAACTAATGTTTAAATTTCAATTTTTCCAAACTGAAACATAATTATGTTAAATTTCTTAATTAAACATTGAAAAATCTTATGTAAATAAAAACAAGCAATTTTATTATACCATTAAAAAAGACATGATTTCAACATTAAATGATACACGCTAATATTTGGGATTGTTCAGTATTAAAAATACTACATACTATATGATTAATAGAACCTGGAATGGTAATAACTAAGTATACATCTTTTTGAAAGATCAATTTTTATTATCACAATTTTCCAAAAATAAAAAATTAACACTAACTATGAATATTGCACGATACCTAATAGTTTCAATATTAAGTTAATGAGAATTTATCACCTAAATGTAGGTAAATCTTAATTCATACTTATAACTGTTATTACGATAAAAATCCATTTTAATAGAATTATAAATGCAAGTAAAATCAGTTCTTTATTATAAAAATTATAATATTGTAGAAAATGTCATTTTCCCATGATCGGTTATGAACTCTAAACTGATTAAGGTTCAAAATCAATGGAAGAAAATTAATTAGTATTATAATGTTTGCCTTAAGCTGGTATTGGTTTGAGATAAACAAGTGAAAAAAAAAAGACTGCCAGACAAGGCAAATTCTAAACATTCATCATATTCCAACTGTTGAGCAGTTCTCAATAAACCTCATCAAATATGATTGCGTCGGCAGACCTCACAATAGTGATGCGACTCGAGTCCTGTTTTTACTCAAGTCACTTGAGTTAATATTTCAAACTCGTACTCAAGTGAAAAAAAAATATCCCTTGAATCTCAATACATACGAGTTCTCGGCTCAACTTAGTCATCGAGTTGATTCTCTTGCCTTGATGATACTTTGCTACTCTAATTTATTTATCTATGCCGCTTATTTTTTGTATGTCTATTACTTAAATAAATAATATATCAAAACTCTTTTAATGTGTATTTTATATATTATTATATTATGTATTTGCTTAAAATAAAAAAAAATCTCACTATAGTAGCATGCTTGCAATTTTTTTACTTACGTGAATTTTGGTAGTTAATTGGGTCGAGTGAATCGAGTCACATAATCACTAACTCGATACAGGTGTAGACAGTATACGAAAATAAATACATTTTTATTTTTTGGTAGTACTTATATACTATTATCGATAATCACACTACCATGGTTATTTTATATATAATATTGTTTTGAAATTAATTTTGGAAACCAAATATTTTTTACTTGTTGTAACGAACGCAAACAGCGCACCTCTTACTCATATCAGAGAATTGGACTTTATACATACACAGAACATAATTTTTATATTCTAACTTATATAAATGATACTTTTTGTATATATTTTCAGATATATTTCATGTATATTTATAAAAAGCTTTATATATTATAGATAAAAAATATTAAAAACCTGCCAACACCCCTATGGTGTCCAAAATACAATTAAAATTTATAATCAGTCTTATATTAATGATCATAAAGTGTAATATACAAGATTTTCGTCTCAGCCACACCTGCGTGGTTCATCCGCACTACTTGTGTAATTCTGATTGCCAGTTTTGGCCGCACTTCAAAAAGCCTGTGTAGGTACAATCGGTGAAGCATATTATTTGTAATCAATCATAGATCTTAACTCAAGCGCCGCAAACTGTCTTATTTTAACCACGTGACGTAGAATAACAAATGCAGAGTTCTTCATCTCATAATTCAAGGAAGAGTTATGGGGAAATGCAGTGTTGGAATTAAGCGATATTCCTGGCCCTAGAACTTAAGGGATTTTAACTACCACATCCCTATTCTGAGCAGCAGCCTCAATAATAAATCGTCGAACAGGAAGGTTTCCGTACGTAGACCTTTGTGCGTACTTTTTAGGTTCACTTTACTGTGACAAAATTGGCTAGAGGCATATGTGCGAGCGCAATAACAATATGTTTATGCACGAATGAAAGAGATACGTAATGCCGGACTGTTGAACGAAATCCTTTCTGTTCGGCGACCGTTGTATGATGCTGTTATGATGCTGTCAAACCTCCGATTGAAGAACATAAAGGAATAAAGTAACACGTCATAACTTTGTAGTTTACTTATTGCCGTAGTATATCTGCGGGCAGTATTCTATGAGAGCTTGCAAAGCGCGAATTTCGAAGGCGAGGTCTGTGATGGCGGGCGGAGTAGCCACCAGGGTTGGCGCAAATACTGTACTCAAATTGTGAGCACTCATTTTGTTCACTTCGGCTAATTGAGATACCCTGGAAATAGAATATATGCATCAGGATATGATTTTTTTTTTAAACAAAGAAGTATGAATAATATTCTTAATGAAAATTATGAATACAAAATTGATCAAATGTAATAAGTATGAATAAATTTATTGCATGCCAAAAATGTTAAATGAGATGTCCGCCATTTTGTTTTAGCTAGTCTCGGCGCCTATTTAATGGAAGATAGGACGCGTATTGCCGGTCGCTAAACGTTAAAACTGATAAATAATAAGATATCACATTCCACCTTGTACACTTGACGAATGATTTGTCTCTTACTAACATATACTACCGTGAGACGGTCGATATATCATCCGTCAGATTTGCACCGACATTTTGTTTTACTTCCACAAGAGCGACTAGTCTATGACTATCAATAGTAAACAAAAGAAACGTGAATTATTATAACACAAAATATTATGAAGTGTCCGACGTTGCTAAGAAATATGTTATTACTTTTAGTCTATTTGGAGCAGTCGTCGTTGCAGACGGAAAGACAGAATAATCTTTATAGGTCACGACCCTTATGGGTTGTCGGGTCAATTTTGAACACAGATATCAATAACTTAAGGTCCAAAATAGAAAACAAGTTTAAGGTTACCTGGGGGTTCTATTAACATTAATAATAGAAAATTAGGTTATCTAAATACAATGCCTTCCAATTAATTTATATATAAAATATATGTCTGTGTGTGATATATGCAAATAAAATTATTCATTTTACCTATGTAAATGTTGCACCATATACTGCAAACAGTTGAAATGCGCCGGCGGTAGCAGATCGAGGCACTCTCGCAACATACCCACTTGTGACGTCACTGTTTTCATTTCTATAATTATGATAGTGTAAGTTGTAAATAACAATATTAATAATAATTGACAAAGCTTTAAAGGAATTAGTAATTTTGTTTTTAATAAAACGACATTTTTTAATTTAAATTAATGGATATTTGTTTATTAATGAATTTATTAGAGATGCGCCGAATATTGGTTTCATCGAAAACTATTCTATTTAACCTTTACCGAACCAGATATTCGGCCGAATTATTCGGTTTACCATTTCATTGTTTTGCCGCGTAAACAAGTTTAAAAACAAATGTTGATTTGAAGTTTAATTGCATTATTTTATTAGCGCTATTACAACACATTCTTCATGGAATTTTATTGACTTATAATATAACTTAAATCTTACATAAAAAGTTTCGTATTTAGGAATGTATTATACCGTAACGTGTAGCCAAGAAAATAGCAATACTCAAACAGAATATATTTGACATCGAAACCGAATAATTCGGCCGAATACTAATAGTAAAAGAGACGCCGAATATGCCGAATATCAAACGAATATTGGACGCATCTCTAATATTTATGATGCAACTGTGATAGGACATGCACGACACTGAACCTTTTGATAAATCTTCATGGTGTTAAAATTATATTTTAACAAAATTATAAGAAAATTAATTAAAATAAGACCTAATTTCAATATTGAGTTAACGTATGTGCCCAAAGATGAAATTTTAAAGGTGGTAACACATAATAACTTACGTATAGCTTGTACTAGTTTCGGATGCACTTCATAGGTGACCAGTGGCACAGGCAGTAACCGCAGGTAAAGTTTCAATGTTCCCGCCACCACATTTATGTTACTGTACACGCTGAGGTCCGCCGCTTCTCCATCTACAATTTAAATAAGATTAGTCAGACCATTAGCAAAGCAGGCTCAGCTTTTATATTATTTCTAAGGTATCGATCGCTACTGCTTAGATAAATTGGTAGCCTGGCATCCGACACATGCTGTCATATTAATCCGCCATATGCTTTTTCAGTGTCATATTAATAGTAATATATCCCTTTTGTTTTTCTTTTTCTTGTATGGTCACTGAATAAATAATTTTCTTTCTTTATAATAGTAATTTAATTAAAAGTACTGTATGCCCAATATAAATACAAGCCCATACAAGAAAAACAAAAGGATATATTACTATTAATATGACACTGAAAAAGCAGCCTCTCAGCATGTCTAGATAGTCTGACGCTGATCCTCCGTGGCAACCTCAGGTTCTTGAAGAAGAGATAAAAGAGATAAATTTTATATCTTTGTTTGTTTGTACGGAGTGGGGGTAATCTTTGCAAATAGTGATCAGATTATGAATTTTTTTTCACCTACAGCAATCTACATCATTAGCAGGCAGGTGAAATTCGCTATTATTTACGAAGGCGAAGTCGCGGGAAAATAAATAGTTTACACATAGGATAAACAAAGTAATTTCCCGTTGAGATCTTTTATACTACACAAGGGATTTTGTTGCGGTTTTCGTCAATATATCGAGTAAATCCAGACGAAGGTTTTTAATACGTATAATTACAGAATACAGGCTAAGCCGCTGGCGGAAAGCTAATATTAAAAAAGAACGTAAATTTTGCGACTATATTTTAAAATTCAGCTTAGAATTTTTGTTTAGATTTCAATATTGAAAATTGTTCTTCTTGTCAGCTAAAAGACGTCCTGAAGAAGTGGTAGGGGAAAAAAAAATTTTTGGACGATTCAAAAGTGCTTGTAATATAGCTTGTAAGTATATAGTACTTGAATAAAGATATTTTCATTTCAATATTTTTTGTACATAGTCATCATGAGAGTATAAAATTAAAGTTCGCTATGAAAACTAGGAATATAATAAAATTACTTAATTTTAAATTATATATGACGAACCCAAGGTGGCGGACTTGTTATCTTTTAAGCATTCATAGTATAGGTTTGTTGTGAAGATTACGAAGAAAATAACAAAAAAAAGCTTTAGTTTAAATGTGCTAAAAACTAAAAAAGGTAGTCCATTCATAAAACTTGTAAAATCTTATTATTTTACTAAAATTATTATTTTTTTATATATCAAACAATATTAACGTCACTAGAGTCACACACACACACATGACATGTTATAATGAGTGACCAAGTGACAGATAAGGCTCTTAATAAACAATAGCCACCTTTATCAAATGCCATCTTCAGTGCCTCGATCTCATCAGCAAATCCTGACACTCTGTAAATACCCTCAGAATCCATGCCTCTCGCTTCAATTTCGTTCACACACTTCCTGACCACAAACGGCAGGGTACTGGAGTGAGCGTTCAGTAACGTCGTCAGATCTATGCCGAAGACACCACGGATTTTCTTCAGATCAGGCAAGCAGTGATTTGGAACTCTCTCTGAGCATTTAGAGTGTGCTATAAAGCCACAATCTGCAATTGATCGTTTGAAATTATTATAACTATTCTAACAGATAAATTTTGTACAAATTCACTTTATAGATTACTCAATATTCCCTATGAATGTGCTCAAGAAAAATACTGAATGTCATAAGCACACTTTAACAGCATGGCTCCAAACCAGCTATTAACTTGTCATTAAACACCATTAAATCGTATGTCATATATGTATTACATTTGATTACGTAAATATGACTATTTATATTATAAATGTGAAAGTTTCTGTGTTTGGATATTTAGATGTTTGTCCGTCAATCACGCCGAAACTACTAAATGGATTTTGATGAAATTTGGTATACATATAGGTTATTAGCTGACTTAGATAATAGGATACTTGTTATCCCACTAAACATTTCTCTAGGGACCACGCGGGCAAAGCCGCTGGCGAAAGCTAGTATCATATAATAAAGAACTTTAAATTGACAGCTGCCATTTAATTTTTTATACTGACGTTATGAATATGATAGGTGTATATATTATATTTTTTTACAACGCATAAAAGCACACTAAGGCATTTTGTTCCGTTTATTCCGCTTAAAACAATGTCTTCTTGCTAATTTCAGCGCTTCCGTACTTTGTTCTTATTTACCTTCACATTTAACGCCTTGTGCCGTGAATCCCCATAAGAAATTTGCACACAATTCACACCAATTAAGACCCTTAAATGTGTGCACTTTGAAACTATGTGATTTGGAATACTTCATAAGCAAGGGGTTTTCTTCCGAAGAAGGCGTGAGATCAAATACCGGTTTCTTGAGTGTGTTGTCTATCATAGGTTTTACTTCAATTTCATTAGCTAGTGGGGATGACTTGTTTGATGCCCTAAAAATATTAATTGGTTTAAGGTATAATATTATTTATAGGTTAAGAATCCATCACTATTAAAATTAGACCATTATCGGCGCGGCGCCCCCCTATGCGCGGCGCCCGGTTGCATTGCATCCCCTGTACCATGGGCAAAGACGGGCCTGATCACCAATCTATTAATTTCCTCACAGCTAGGGTTCTCGCCTTCTCGACCTTGTGGGCCCAGGGAGTATTGGTAGGTATGACGACTGTAGATGCAGCCGGGATCAACGGCTTAACGTGCCTTCCGCTCGATATAATACATTTTTGGTCACCCATCCCATGACCGACCCATACGAAAATTGCTTAACAACCATATCGTAGATCGAGTATGTTAACCACCACTCTATCGAGCTCCCTATTATTAGCAGTATATTAGCAGAATTTTATGAATATAATTTTGCTCCTCACCCATTTTTATCACCAAAAGTAAGTACAAAATTAAACTAATTTCTTTCAATTACCATAAGATTTAAAATGCAATGGTTTCCATATCACTTAAACTTGGCGGAGGCAGGAGCCACGTACGCAAGATAACGTACTATTTTAATTATTATTACTGGGCAGGATTTGCCGCAATTCTAAATATACTTTCTGCGCATGTATAGTAAGTCAAGTAGGTTTGTCATAATATATTTCAATTATCTGTTTTTAGCAAGAACCAGAAATAATAAATAAATATTGCTGACATATCCTCCGACTACATTTCCACTTTCCTCTCTCTTGTCATCATAACAAAACAATATATCAACTCCTCACTCTCCCCCTCAAATCCTTTTAACTAGTTCTTATTGAAATTTAGAGTGTATTACAATTTTTTTTTTCAACCACTACTAGTAAAATTAATTACTGAAGATGTAGGTTGACTACTTTATATCTCTGTATATGGCAATTTATTGAGCAATGTTAATATAATAGAATATAATAATATACATCCTTATATTTGGGGCCCTCTATATGAATGCTTTCCTTCTAATAAATAAGTATTTTTGATATTTTACTACATACCCTAGAAACTATTCACGTGATTATTGATGACTTACTTCAACCTACAACTTATTAACAATGCTATAAAGTAATAAAGAGGATATGCAAAAATTTATTGAATCATTACCTCTTAAAATTTTTACATTTAAAAATTGATAAAATAATTTTTAGTACTTACTGTTGTATTCTAGAGAGGTTGTTTAATTTTCGCCTATTCAAAGTGACATATGGACTTTCTGTATAATTTGCCTTAGAATTGATCATCTCTAGAATCGGATGAGCCTTCAACTCCATATGGCAAGTTATAAGACCATCTGCGACCAAATCATAAATTGTGTCATAATGTTTATCTTTTAAATAGTGTGTTCCATCGTAATATAACTTAAAGTGGTGTACTTTATCATCAAACCTGAAAAAACATAGCATAGCATAGTTCATTTTGAAATATTAGTAACACATCTAAATGTAAGGAAAATGAAATATCTGTATAAGGACTGCCTTGTGATACTTGCTTTGACTCTGCATATCCTATACAGGATAGTGTAATAGGTAGAAACATAAAACTATTAGGAGAGAAGAATGAAGGCATAACTAGCTATAATTAATTTATAAACTTTAGTTTATGTATTATAATTTTTGCTACTATTATGGGCAAAAATAATTTAATTATAACTTTAATTTATACAACAGGCTTGAGTTGAACAAGTTGAAATACATGTTTTTGGTATATGTTTGAAAAACATGAATCTTTTTAACTTAGAAATATTTAACAGAATAAATTTAACACTAATTTGAAAAATATTATGCTTTGAAAACTTTGAATAAGTAGGGAAAATATACTACAAAAATAAAATATGGCATTAGATTAGTTACATTAAAATGTTACAACTTTCATTATAACAGGTATAAACGCACATAAAATAAAGATATTACAAAGACTGCCCAGACACCCATAGGGTTTTCACTTCTGTGGCCTATTAATGGACTATTTATTTATTAAATTAAGAAACAAGTTGTCAACTAGCCTATAGTGTGGCATACCAAGTTAATGTATGAAACTCATAGCTTACAGCTTAAACACAATTAAATGTCATCTCACTGACCAATGTTAAATGAAAGTAACTTGTAGCAGTATAAAATCCTATAATTTTTAAATGAAAAATACATTTTCCACATTCTACAAGAAGAAACAAGAACAACAAGTAACTGCAGTTTATATATTTATTATTATAGATTATGATGTTAAGGTCTAAAAATAATCAAAAGATAAAGATTTTAAAAATCACCTCCATGTTAATGTATAAAAATCATTGTATTGGTTTCCTTTCCTTATGAGGAACGCTCCATTTGGTTCGTTTTCTAGTAGCAGGGTAGCTTCTTTGTGTCCCATAATACCATGATATTCCTTCCCGTAAAACTCAGGTCTATCTGGGCAATTCTCACAGTTTATTCGTTTGGGCAATGGAGCTTCCATTTGTATACGATACACTAAAAAATATTTTGATTAGTTAGAAAGTAAACGGGCATTGAAAACTATATATTGAATATTACTCACGCTCTGGCTTCCATATATTTCTCAAATTCTCCATAGTAAATATTCGTTTCAATTCAAATCACAAATTTTGATTTTTTAATACAGATTACAATAGTCGTTCACTGTGATTAATAACGTAAAAATTAAAATTTAACAATCCATACGAAACCGTACATCATAACATAAACAAAGCTAATACATGACATCTGTCAATGTCAACTATCAGTAGTATGCGCAAAAAGAATCGATAATGAACATTCTTTATATTATATTTCATAAAAATTTATTTGTTTGAATTTTGAAGTTTGCCCTAGTAAATGTATGTATTTGTTTGATTATTTATGTTTTCTTTCATTTCACTTAATAATATAACTATAATACCTATCGTGAATACTGATGGCTTTGAGTTTCGATTATATATCAAAGAGTATAGTTTTAACAGGGAAAGCTTAACAACTAACCATCATATTATAGCACCGATATTGGGCTCAGTCAATTTATAAGTTAGATAAATTCTTCATAGTACGACTTATTTGTATGGATCTTGTCAAGACCCGAGATTGGAAGACATCAACTATCTTAACAAAAAAATGTTTTATTCAGTAGATTTATTTTCTTAACAAATTCTTATGTACGAGGGTCAAACTGAAAGTTCTTAGAACTGGCCACTTATAAACAATATAATAAAAAAATAATTCTAAAATTTGAAAATATAACTCTTTGCCAATATTACTGAGTATATATTTCATTCATTTGTCATTTGTTTTACGATTTGGCGGCAAATTGAAAATTGTCTGTGTCACGTCATCATGAATTTAACACGAGAAAATTTTCGTGCAATGATTTTTTATGACTTTCGATGTCATTTAAGTCAACAAGAAAGTTATGATAGACTACGATTGGCCTTTCACGATGAAGCCCCATCTCGTGCGACTGTTTACAACTGGTTTAATGAGTTTAAACGTGGTCGCACTAATCTCACTGATGATTTACGTGAGGGACGGCCTTCTACGGCGACGACTGAAGATAACATCTGTGTTGTGCGGCGTATGATAGAGACTGACAAAAGAGTGACCTATCAACAGATTCGGACAAGCTTAGGCATCGGTATGAGTCAAGTGCACAAAATCCTCCACGAACATTTAGCGGTCAGGAAGCTTTGCGCCCGGTGGATACCTCATAATTTGACTGAGGCTCAAAAACTCCATTGTGTGGATTGGTGTCGTAAAATGATTGAAAGATTTAACGGAGGTGACTCAAATGCTGTGTTCGACATACTAACAGGTGACGAAAGCTGGATTTACTGTTATGATCCTAAAACCAAAAGACAATCTGCTCAGTGGGTGTTTCCTTTCGAGGAGTTGCCAACTAAAGTGAAGAGAGATCGAAGTGCGGGAAAAAAAATGGTGGCCTCGTTCTTTGGAAGGATAGGTCATTTTGCAACAATTGTGTTAGAGGATCAAAAAACAGTTTCTGCAGAATGGTACACTACCAATTGTTTGCCACTTGTCTTGGAAAAAGTTCGAGAGAAACGACCTCGCAGTAGGATCCTCCTTCACCACGACAACGCCTCGTCGCACACCGCCAAGCGAACGATCGACTATTTGGCGACATCAAACGTTGAATTACTGGGTCACCCGCCGTATAGCCCCGACCTCGCGCCTTGTGATTTTTATTTATTTCCAAAAATTAAAGAAAAACTTAAAGGAAAGCGGTTTATGAATGCTGAAGAAGCGGTGGCTGCGTATCGCGATGCCATTGAAGAGACCCCTAAGGACGAGTGGGCAAAGTGCTTTTCCCAGTGGTTCCATCGCATGCAGCGGTGTATTGACGTGAATGGACAATATTTTGAAAAGATATAATAAAACTAATAACTGGCTAATGTAATCAGTTTTTGATTTTCTAAGAACTTTCAGTTTGACCCTCGTATAGGTAAGTAAGTTAGAATCCCTTATAGATTTAATAATAGGTTTTCGGAGCTCAACCATTTAGAAGAAAATTATTTGGAAAAAAATCATAAATAGATGTACCTATCCCTTGCCCTTTTAACAGAGCTTAATCATTTAGAAGGAAATTAAAAAAAAGATACATATAAAACAATGAATCCCTTGCCCTTTTAAAGGAACGACTTTCTCCAGGATCGAACACAACAGCGTGACAACGCGTGTTAGTGTTATGCTTTGCTTACGCGAGTGCGATTTCCCGTTCATATTTCATTTTCCTCCAACACCTCTCAGCTACAACAGCACATGCCTCCTGCGCATTTTTTCCGCGCTGCTTAGAGTATCTATGTATATAAGCTTATATTAGCATTGCAAATGATACTTATAAGTAATAACATTTGTTTTTTTTTCATCTCCTTTTCAGTATAATACAATACCTAAAAATAACTTCTTTTGGTAATGACCCAATTAAAAAGTTATAATTTTGCTGATACTGCCCGCATCAAACTTGTAATTAAATTGTATAGATTTGATAAAATCTTTACATACACACTCCTAACGAAACAGTAATTTATGAAAAATATATAAAACAAATATGACGTTTATCTTTGACATAAATAAATCAAATTATTTATTTGTAATACATATAGACGATACACAATTAATGTCAAACTTATTCCATATTTCACCACTTGGCATGCAAAATTACTTTGAAAATTACTTGACCCTATACAGTAGTTAAAAACTATACCTATATATTTTTTGATTTTATTTTAACTCTGTTTAAATTTATTGAAAAAAAAAAACAATTTTATTTTAGCGGCTAGTTGACAACTTTTATTTTGTTGATAAATGGTCCATTAATATCTGAGAAATAATGTAGAACTAACAGTATGTCTGCTATAATAATTTCGGAGATATGATGCTATGTTTATGGAACTGCTGCTACTTCCATCAAATTCAAGCGTAATAATTTCCAATTATATGTCATAAAATTTATTTTGTTTAATATATTTATGTCAAAATGGTTCATTTTATCTGAACATATAACAGACTCCTGTATTTTCACTTGTACGACACAAACCTAACTACACCATTATTTGGCTGATATAGTTCTTAATTATATTTCATTAATCTATTGTAATTTCTTTTTTCAAACAAAAAACAACTATTGTCGAAAATGTAGGACAAAATTTTAGTTGATTTGAGGACCTCCTTTTTTCGAGTCGGTTGAAAGGAGAGGTAGCCGAAACGGAATAAAGATTGTGACAATATTTGCATAGAGCATTATCAAAAATGCAATAACTTATCATTTGTGTTTATCTTTTTACTTGAATAATTCATTGTTTAAGTTAACATGCAGTTATTTGGCGCCGTTCACTATAGGGTGTTATCAAACAGATACATGTTTTAAATACTAAAAGTAGGTAAGTAATTGAGGACTTAGATATGATCCCTGTGACACACCTATTATTTGAATGTGGCATTTTGCAGGGATTACGAGGGCTTGCAATTTTAAGAGGACGCGTAGACTTATAATCACTTACTTTGAACTAGTTTTGTGTAAAGAAATAACGTCCATATTAATTATAATTTAAAATGAACTCATTGCAGAATGAGTAAGCCCTGCAAACAAACATAGGTAGAAAGTTTTCCTCTTTATAATTTAGTATATAGTGGGTAGGACTGAATCGGATGTAAAAGCATGTTTTAATTTCCATTTCTACTTACTTGTGAAAAGAACCGTTTTCAAGTCTATCTGAAAACTAAGCATAGTTCCGTATGTATCGAAGCGCCTAATTTTCATCTTAGGCGATTCCTTAATATTTGGGCGAACATTTAATAAAACAACGTGACTAATTAAGGAGAATTAATTGAAGTCTGAGTAATATAAAAGTAATTCAGAACGTTTGTTTTGATTTGCCATACCTACCAAAGCATAAGTTTGAGAACCGGCCATGTGCGAGTCAGAGGCGCGCACGTAGTTGAATGGGAGCCCCTTTGAATATTTATTTTTATTCTCTCTTTTAAGTATATGTTGTTATCTTCGTCTACAACTACATCGGGTAATTTGGTGCGTCTCCATTCAAAATCTAAAAGGATAATTTTCTATGAACGTTCACAGTATTCTCCGCGAATTGTGAACCACCAAATACGTATAGGGTATACATATGTAGATATATATTGTGCAAATAAACAAAATCACCAGGCCTTTCGTTATGTTAACACACACATATATATATATATATATTTTAGTGCTACATATAGAAAAAATATAACTAAGTATCACTAATAATAATGAAATAAAAAATATCTTCATAAAATAGAATCGACTTCGAACTATAAAAAATGTGAGATATAACACTTTACTTAAAAGCGGTTTAATTATTCAAAAGACTGTTACTGAAGTAGAGCAGAGATTTTCTGTATATTAGAAAAAACTCACTAATTAATTACTCACTTTGTAATGTTTGAAGTCGTTCTATTTTTGAATTTTTTTTTTCTATTATTTTGGACGTTCTCTCGATTAATGTTTGATTTTCATGTTAACAACATGTTTCATGTTAAAGGCAACTCGGTTCTAAATGACTACACGGTCAAGTTGTGAATTCATAAAATTATCTCGATATAAAAAAGAACAACAAAAATAGCCCATATTTTTCTTATTTCTTCTCATAATTAAAAGATTAGGTATACCCATAATTCTTTCCTTTACAGTTCCACCAACACATACAACAAGGAATTATTAAATGTAGACCTTTTTAATGTGTCTTTAAATCCATTAAAAATATTATATAATATAAAAAGTTCTTTAAAATTGTTTTAGCTTCATTTTTTTAAAAATATCTGATTGCGTTTCGATACCTAAGAGTACTTTTGTTTATAATGTAATGAAATTTTGGGCACTGTAGGTCTTCTTCGTCGTTTTAATAATGTTTATAATTTTATCACTGTAAACGTATATGACTGTTTGATGCCAAAATAGATTAGTTATTTTTTTTATAGAGAAAAAATATTTTGAGAACATCTGCAGATAAAATCGCCACACGACTTCAAAAGCTGTGATCCACAGGAAGTTTTAACTCTGTGCAATAGCTTAGTTACACTGGTTGATGACATCCGTGCGCGGCGTTCGGACGATTTCTGTTTCGCGCTTTCATTTATAATTATTGCTTTATTGACCAATGATATGAGCCCGTAGAGGTCGCACTGACTCCATGGCAGGGCTTGAAACCGGTTCAGAATAAACCGTTTTAATTTAGGTAAAACCTGTTCTCTTGTAATGTTCCGTTCCGGATCGGAACTAAATGCTGAGTGAAATTCGGATGGAATAAAAACCGGTTAATTCGCTTAGTTCGTAAAAAGCAATGTTCTTACGCTTTTGATGCGAATTATGTCATTTTTAAGCGACGACATTTATCATACCTGTTTACGGATGTTATAGATATGGGTATAGGCACTTAAAAACCGCGCTGAAGTTTATGAGACCATTGTCTGGAGTCATATTTAAACCGGTTAATGAAGAAAACCGTATTTCTATTGAACCGATTTAAAAACCGGTTCAAAGGAGTTTAACCTTTTATGTAAAGTACCCCATGTACTTACGTCGAACCGGTTCAAAAAATAAACCGGTTTCCAAGCCCTGCTCCATGGTTTGACCCCATAAACCAGCGTAACCGAACCATAAGTAGTGCAGTGGTTAGCGCATTCGGTCGTCCTGCGGTGAGGACATTAAGCAAAATTCGCAAGGGTTAGTCGTATAGAACATGTGACTAAAATTTTATCATCTCGAGCTCCTCCGTGCTTCGGAAGGCACGTTAAGCCGTTGGTCCCGGTTACATTTGCAGTCGATAACACCCACGAATCCGAACGATCCGATTCTATTCCTGTGCTCCTGTGAGGATATTAATATGTTATTACGAGTAATAATGACGATGTAGTAGAAACAAAACAAACATTTTTGTGTTTTAGTTTTTTAATTGAGTAGTTTAATTATTTACTTAAAGCATGGTTTTCCTCAATTGCTCTATAATCCTCCTCTCTCTGGCCTCCGATGCTATTATGATCAAGGGCAATGACGATAGAATAAATAGTTCCATCAGATGGACACTTCTAGAACCATTAACAACATCTCATGCCTGCTCTGATCACAACATAACCTATTCATACCCAATTCTGGGCATACAATGGTATTGAATGTTTGTTTTTTTAATTAAGGTCTATATATAAGTTAATATTTACAATAACCTATTTGTAAATAATCTAGGATGAATGAAATCACTTTTAAATGGTTTAATCACGTTTGTATTTAGTTTTATTGACGTTTCGGACCCTATATCGGTTACGTGTTCACATAAGACTAAGATAGATAATACTCGTAGAAATAGAAATAATCTAGGAATCGGGTGAACGGTATTGAGGTTGCGAGGGACCGTTACAAAGGTTTAAAGTAGTATCAGCGATAATAATGTTAAATTATGATTCTCATACAAAGTACTAATCCTTCGTGGTTTAATTTTCGAGACGAAAACTACTATCTCTTTCCTATAGTTTCATACTACATATGTCTTTTTCGTCTAAATAGGTTCAATGGATTAAATGTTATAGTCGGAATTACTTTCGCATTTATATTACAGTAAGGAAGTAAGGATACACCATAGATAATATTCAAAGTTCTCTGCTGGTTCCATTTAAGCATGATACTCGTATGAAGGTCATGCGTTTTGTTCAGGTATCTAGAGCAGCGGTTATTACTATAGCGAGAATAGAAACAACTGTGAAAACTACCAAAAGTATACTACTTATTATATTGTTAAAAGTTACTAAAGCATTTTGCGGTTATTATAGAAGCAACGGAAATAAAAAGTCACTACAACCATTCAGAAAGGAAACAATTAAATTTGACGAAGAAACATTATGAATAAAATAGGAAGCATTGAGGAGAATCGTGAACCCGGAAAGATACTTTTTGCGTTAAGATGAAAAAGCGATAGTAGAGGTTTGATCGGAGAACCGTAAAATTAGAATCATCGTTTCTTATATTTTCACGCGTTCATTCAACTGAAGGTAGCTACGCCTTTAACTATATAAAAAAAATAGTTCAAAAACTAAAATCTGTTTATAGATAATTCTGAAAATTATTTTATAGCAATGGCTTGGCAATGAAAAGTGTAGTCGTATACCACTGATTATGACAAAACAAGCTCTAGCTATGAAATTTATTTCTTATTACCTACTAACATTTAAGAGCTTTTTAGTTTTTGAACTTATTTTTTTTTATTTAATTAATATTCGGGTGTGTTAAAGCAAAATCGCAAGCAAAAGCTATCAATATAAATACACCTACACGGAATAACTGAATATATTTTTTAATTTTTTTTCTAGACGGCCCTATTGCCAATTTAATGTAACATCACATAGCCTATAGTACGCGGTCAACTAAGACGCTTCTAATGATACCTCATTTGTCCAGTTACGATGAGTAGTTTCGAAATTATAAAGGAACAAATGAACATTCTTACGTACACACATACCGGCCAAAACCATAACCTTCCTTTTGGCTACGCCGTAATCGGGTAAAAAAGACGACCAACATCTTAGTCTACGTCAACACGAAATGTTTTAAGAATCCAAAAAGACTGAATATTTAAATAATACACGCGAAAGTCGTTTCAAGTAGATTAATATTGTTTGGAAAATTATGACAATTTGTGGAATAAGGTAGCTGTCGAATAAAATCTTATATTTTCTATATAAATAGGTGCTTTTTAATTTTCATAATTGTTCGTGATTTCTCGAAAAAAATATGTTTAAATCGGAAAAATAACCAATTCAAAAACGCTAAAAACACAACCGCAGTTACGCAGATAAGCAAGCTATAAAGGCTACATATAAATATAAAGAAAGCTAAATTACAACTCATTATCAACCCAATCGTCTCAATAATTAGTGCTTAAAATAGTAATTAGGTTTTATTCAGCGTCGCGTTGAAATGGAATCACTTAGTTTAGTATTAGTTTTGTATGTAGTCATGTATCTCCTAGTGTCCTGTAGCGCTTGGGCATTCACAGACGTAAATTATGAAGATCTGCTACCACTTGTCGGAGATAACGATGATGCTTCCGTAACTGACAATGAGCGCCTTTTGAAATTCAATCTCATATATCCTGGTAAGTATTATTAGATTATTTATAGACTAATTGTTTTCCCGTGACGTCGATCGCATTTATAGCCTATGTTACCCGCTTACGTTCCCGTTATCTTCCCGTCATCATCATCATCATCAGCCCTTTTTTACGTCCCCACTACAGGGGCTCAGGCCTTCCTTATGGATGGTTAAGGAGTATTGGCCATGACCCTCCACGCTGGCTGAATGCGGATTGGAGGGTATTAACGACTGCAAATGCAGCCGGGACCAACGGCTTAACGTGCCTTCCGAAGCACGGAATAGCTCGAGATAATAATTTTTTGGTCACCCATCCCGTGACCGACCCTTGCGAAAGTTGCTTAACGACAACGATCGCGGGCCGCGGCTCTTATCCACTACGCCACCGAGGTACTCACCGAGCGCTATCTTCCCGTAGTTGAAAGAAATTTTTGAAATCGGCCTAGGAGTTTCGTCCATGGTTTCGGTGCATAAAAAATAAAAAATTTCCTATCTATACTAATATTATAAAGAGGAACGATTTGATGGTTTGTTTGTTTGCATTGAATGGGCTCCGAAACAACAGGGCCGATTTAAAAAACATTTCTCCTACGGGAAGATTGGATAATCCTACGGGGACTCCTGTGTGGATTTCTCATATGCGGCAACGTAGGCTATATTTTATCCTGAAAAACAGCAAATTAAGGGATGAAAATGGGAGTCGAATTTTGTGTGGGAAATTAAACCCTCACCATAGTAAGGTATCATAATAAGGTAGGTATATATCATTGTAATTATATCTGTGTCATGACATAAATTGATATCCAAGTAAATAGTTCCCTAGGGAACACGCGGGCTAAGCAGCTGGCGGAAAGCTTGTTTATAAAATGCATCCATTGGAAAATGCATCCATTTACCCATCGGTAATATCGTCAAAGCGAGTTTAATGCATTCTGTTTGCGACTACGGCCTTTAAGCTTGTGACTGGTTCGATGTTTGTGTCGATTGGTAAAAGAAAGGCTGACTAAGCTTGATAAGTTGGTATATTTATAGTCTAAATTAAAAAAAAAACTTTTCTGGGTTTTACTTTATATGTAGTACATTAGTAGACATTTCATGTCTATCATAATATATGTTTACATGTATCTATACTGCTGATCATATTATTTATATGATTAAATTTAGATAACAATAATGTTCTTGCCGGATGAATGTTTCACGAACTGATTCAGATAGATCATATCGCGTTACTCAAAATTTCAAATTACGAATGATGAATAACAAAAAGAAATGATGTTAAAGATTAAAGACAAAAAGTTTGGATGCGGACATGACGCACCGCAACAAGCTGCCTTCTTAATGTACCTATGGGGCAATGTCTTTACTATGGAAGGAAATAATCGCATAGGATGGGTGGGTCATTCACGAGCAAGGCACAGTGCGGGTTCTTGAATAAAGTTTGTCATTCGGGTATACCCAGACAGACATATTTTCAGAAGTATACTTACTTTAGTTACTTACCGGAAGCAGAAACAGAACCAGAAGTCGAAAAAAGTCGGATGCGGAAACGGAAGTTTTAATACTGTGAAAAAAATGTTTGTTATGCGTATTATCATAATTATATCAATATTTATAATTAGTATTATTTTTTAGACGTAACAGCAAATCACGATATGTGTTGCAAGGGGCTGTCTTTTCCCACGCCGAGAACATCCCTTCCGCGCGCCCGCCAACAAACAAACAAGCAAACAATAAGTCGTAATGTTCCATTTAAATTTCCTTTATAAAATTCGCGGAACCAGAAACAAAGATTAGAAAGCATTAAATAAATTAACTACAACTCGAAAGCGACTTATTTAAGAAACTGTTAGTTATATTATTATTTTTTTAATAACACTAAAAATATTAAATATCTATATAAAAATATCTCTGCATTGTGATAGTCTAAGAAAAAGAGATTTTATTTGTTTGCTCTGGTGATAAACTGACACATGGACGTACAGCGAAGAGTTAGTAAATTTATATTTCCATTCTTACCCTTTGCATACGGAATCCTGCCTTGCTCACTTCTGAGCCATACTAACGTATGCTTCCGTGAGAGGCTTAACCGATCTTCCGTCAGATTTGCATCGACTCATGTAACCTCTAAAACCCCTGCGGATCCCTTCGGATTCATAGCGATAAACTCGACAAGCCAGAACCAGAACCCCCACACCCATCTAGTAAATCTCCATTCCAGCAACTTACATGTGCCCTTGGAATGGAGTTATTAATAGGCTCACAATGCATGCCATTATTTACAAAATTGTCCTTACTAATAGGCACAAAATGGTGCGGTGCTGGCAACATAGCGGAGAATTATGATGACTTAGGATCAGAAGTGGAGACCGACAGGTGCTGCCGGGCGCACGACAACTGCCCTGACGTCATCGCCGCAGGAGAAACAAAGTACAACCTTACCAACACAGCATTCTATACGAGGTATTATTTTTTGGATTGTTAATCCACCAAAAAGTTCATGATATTGCTTTCAGCTATTTAGGTGATTTTTTTTCTAATTATCGCTATAAATCAATCAGTAAAGTGGTACCCGATTTTGGCCATTTTAACATTACCACATAGTTTTGGCATTTTAAGAGAAATGAACTTTAACAAATCACAGCTGTCAACGGCATTAGTTTTGCCGTAATCCAAAATTTTAAAAACCGTTCCCAGTAAAGTAATATATATGCCATTGCGTTATTTTTATAACGCCTTTATTTGTCACCTAAATGGCCTAAAAAGAGACAGTGGCTGATACCGGGTCTTGTACACCGTTGAGTCTTTGAAAGTTAGCGATTGTCGTTGATTTGACTCCTACCTACTAGAGGTGTTAGTGACGGTTGTTTTTTTTAATATATTCTAAAGTCAAATTTACACCAAACAACCCAAAGTACTTCGATCGCGAGCGGCAGCAACAGGCTCCAAATGTGCAATTAATGTGTGGCCGTTGCTTCGCACGATACATGGTGAGAAATCATTTCAAAGTCAATCAATGATCCCTGGATCACAAATTGAACGAGATCTTCTCGTTTATACAGAAAAATAAAAGAATTCTTTTTTATTTCGAACTGCATTGGTATTTACTATTTTGCCGTCCGTCTTACTTGATGATAAGTATAAAGCTAATCTAAGATAATTCCGCAATACGCAAGTTTCCAGAAATTGCGTAACTAACTCTGACATTAAAGAGACTGGGGTTGTTTTTGTCGAACACATGAGCAGGCAGCGCATTATATAAACTAACACTCGTATCTATACTCGAGAGCAGTAATTACTTGAGAATATGTCGCGGTCGTTGCGAAAGGTCGTGGGTTCGAATACCATCTCAGATTACCAGGGACAAAATGGATTTTTTAAGCATATTTCTTCATTGAACTTCAAGTCTATTGGTTAAAAATATTTGATTTTCAAGTAATTTCTTCTCTCGACTTTAGATGCGAGTGTAGGTAACGTATTGTATAAAAAAGAACTGTTAAAATGCCTCTTATAAGCAGGTTGTCAATAACATATGGGTAGTAGACCAGCCTGCATCTAGTACTCCGGTTGTAGCACAAGGGTTGTAGAACTAAGTTACTTTGTAGTTTATTTGCGCGCTCACCAAAATGAATCCTATAAAATACCGATACACCAGTATGACAATGTTTCTCAAAGCCATTAATTTACCATCTTGTATTTTGCTTGTGTTCTCCTTATAAATAATATGACTACCTCCGAGGCCGAGTGGCTCGCTCGCTGGTTTCAAAGTGTCGTCACCTCTTAACCACTGGATTCGATTACCGGTGAAATTAACTTTGCTATATTATTTCGGGTCTGAGTGTTGTAGTACATTCCTTGATACAAGTGCTTTAGCTATTTAATCTGGGATAGGAAAAATGTATGTATTCATTTTACAGACTAAGCTGCGATTGTGATGAGACTTTCCGCCAATGTTTGCGGAGTGCCAACACCAGCGTATCAAAGCAAATTGGACACATTTATTTCAACACCCTCGGGACCAAATGCTTCAGGAGGGACTACCCCATTACGGGCTGTAGTAAACGAGGCGGGTGAGTGAAAAAAGCTTTATACACTGGGGCGGATTTATCCAATGGCCGTACTAGGCGCAGGCCTAAGGTGGCCAGATATTAAGGACAGCCAATAATGGCATAAAATATAACAGTGCCTAATTTATGAGAGCTAAAAAAGAGGCGGATAGTACTTCATGGCCTAGGGTGAACAAGCCCACAATTCTGCCGCACATTAATAAAGTTATATACGTTAAACAGTTTACATATCTGACTATATATAATCACTATCTTATTTCAAAGATCTAAGGAGATCTATAAGTGAAACGTCATAGTCAAGTTTGCTAAATCCATAATAACAATGCAAACGACTTCTTAGCCATTTATTTCAAACACAAAATTAATAAGCCGTATGACAAGATACAAGAAGGTACTATTCTATTTTGATTTAAAAGCAAAAAAAAAACATTCGCCCCATTAGACTACTTGTGGTTTGGTAGTAGAGATAGATCTCCTCTAAGTTTTAAGAAATGTATATATTTGGGGAAATGAAAAATATTCGGGGAAAAGAAATTCTTTCATAATCTTCAAATAGCTATTAATGTGCGATATTTTTATTAAATTGGTGGGTGACCGTTGATGGGTTATTTATTTAAACTAATTGTTGGTCCCAATTCCTAATAATTAGATATATTCTAAACTTCAAGGCTGTAATTGATTACTTGGCTTGATTACTTATTAATGTAGAAAAACACTGAAACGAAAATTGTTGTTCCGAGTCTGAATTGTCATGGTTTCCATGGTACACCGTATGAGCCTTGTTTTAGCCTTGATAATTCAATTGTTAATTTATGCAATGGTATTTAATAATAATTTCGAAAAGTCATTTGTGTTCATCACTCCATTTAATAAGTAATTATTACAAAAGACCAAATTTTGCAATCAATGTTGAACTTAACTCTAAATAGACTCAAAAAATTGGTTGAATGACCTTTTGCAGTAACCAGCCTCTCGGTCTTACTTTAATATAATGACATTTAAAGAATGTAGCTCCATTCTTTATATGACGTTATATTCAAAAACTTTCCTATATTCACAACTTTTTCTTTGATCTCATTCGATATCTTTTTTAAGACTTACTTGAACTTCAATAATACTTGGAAAATTCTTGCAACTGATAGTCATTTATTTCTTTAATTGAAGCTTCGTTCCTTCCGTTATTACACAACGCCATTGTTATTGTTTGGATTAGCAGAAAATGGAATTTTTAGTACATTTTTCGCGGCATCTGGATATTTTATTACAAGGTTATTTGGCTTCCACATCGTTCAGTGATATTTTGTAAATTATAAAATTTTTCAATATCTCTAAATCTGGACGGTTTTCCAGTCATGAACCTATGACTGTAAATGCATCCTCTAATTTGAGCAACAGACGATTTTATGGTTATTGATTGCTGTGTGAATCGAAGATAGTAAAGGATTAATTATGATCTAATCTAATTTTCTTTCAGGTTTCTCGGTAATAAATGTGTGCAGTACAGTTATAATACTCAGGGAGAGCAGCTCTATCAATGGTTTGATGTACCTAACTTTTAACACTAAATAAATTTACTAATAGGTAAGTGTTTCCCCAAATCGAAACAAGATAGTGTTAATTAATGAATTAAGTTATATATTTAAAGTGTAATGTTTTTTGTGTGTGAAAATATACAATAAATAAAGAAGCGGCATTTGTATTATTTATTTTTTCTCAGCATATTTCATTGGTACATTGTTAGAGATTTTTCCTTTATAATGTTTGTCATAATTCACCATTAAGTATAAGTAATATACAACTTTTTATATTAAATTATGCACACATTAATGCACGGTTAATATACATTATTTTTTTATAATATTTCGTATAAATAACCATACATAGTTATACATGTCATGTTAAGAGATATGAGTACAGATATATATATGTATATATATATAACAATGTATAAACAAGTGAACAACTTCGAACGGTGTTAGAAATAACGCTAGAATATTAATTAATGATAGAAAAATTTCAAATACAGGTTACATAGGTATTTAGATATGTAGCACAGTGCTTAGCTAAAATATTTTATTCAGGCGCACGCATGATTATGTACAATCAATTTCAATATACATAGTAGTACATAGTTGTGGAGTAACAGTGTGGTTATATAATTATACGATGCAATGGTTATCTAGGAGTTGCAAGCTAGATCTGGATCTTTATATGACAGGGTTTTAAAAATATTGAATAAGAATGAGAATGTACTGGATAGATACGAAGCGATTAAAGGACTTAATAGAGAATCCCTTGTTCAAAGTGAGCAATCTCGAAATAGTCTACAATCCAAGCGAACTTACCGTTCAATATGTACACAACAATTTCAGATTATTTTATAAATCATTTAACGTCCAACGTTGCTAAGTGGGACATCCCTTGTAGGTACCTACCATTTTATTAATGTTCTTATTTATGAAATTTTGAACATTCTTATAAGTTTTCATTATAATATTTTAGTGAACCAATATATATTTTTTTTTACCAAGGATTCCATATATTAAAAGTAACGTAACTTGAATGCAAGCAGTCTTTTATCGGTTAATCATTAACAATAGTTTATTTGGACAATATTATGTCGACCGTGTGTGATAAATAACAGCTATCTAAAAAAACACAACATCTCTGCTACAATAATAAAATTACAATAGTTTAACACAAGTAAACTCATTAAAAAGTCTCCCTTTTGTCAAATGAGAAACTGTAACTTAAATGACGTTAGTTTGCTTGAATTCACGGTACCTACTTATCCGTTGAATTTCACACCATAGATTTAATACTACCGAAATTATTTGAAAATGCTTTATTGTACTTATAATTTACAAATAATTTAATCAGAGAAAGTACATGACAAATACAGATGTATACTTACAAATTTGAATCTGTTATACCTGAATAGACATATATTTCTAAGTGATCAATGACGCAGTCATATTTATAACACGAGAATGATATAGATGGTATCACGTCTACTATCACAGAATATCATTATGTCGAGAACGATTAGAGGGACCAGGCGTATATAATTTAAGGAGCTTACGTAAATTTCTTATTATATTAACATTTTGCATATTAATCGGTATTAGACTTGGTAATTGGCAAATTTCTCTAAGCACCTATACTTTCATTTATTTCAAGATATAAATGTATTTAACTGGGAATAATATGATATATAACTCAACATTGATATATAACTATGGATTCGAAGGTATACATGATATTATTCATTAAAAATAATTAACATTTTGCATCCTTTCGTTTTTATTTTGATTATATGGATGACGTTATTATTGCCAATGTTCATTTACAAACCAGCATAATTGTACTTTCGCTTAAACATTACCATCGTTATAATAAGTATTAAAGATTTTTAGAAGAATTAAGTGTAAAAAAAAAATATGGGGCTGGTCAGTAGGACGGTAACAATGGGACACAACATTATCAAATAGGAAAGAGGAAATGCTATACGTATATTCAGTTTTAAAAGGATAAATTTTATATCTTTATAAATTTTATATTATAGAAACTAAAGAAAAGAATATAAAATCCAATGTGGTATTTCTGAAAGTTGATGCATCAAACATTTAAAGGTAACTCACAGCTAGCGATTGAAAACGTAACGTAGAATTTACAACAAGTCTATGCCACGAGGATTGTGAAATAGTCACTATAAGATTATAACTTTCTTTTTTTTCATATCTATATATATATACGAAATATTTTTGTTCCAATGCAATAATAATGTTTTAAACGATCGCTCATATTCTAACCTAACAACGGGAAAAGTCCGAAGATAGAAAACTTCAGATACACGACTAATTTCAGGTGTTTAAACTTCAACCGTGTAGGTACTATCAAGACAGCACTAATACTTGAATATTCACTAGACTGTGCGTTTATTGGTTTTATTATTTACAACATTTCCTATATTAAGTACCGAACTAAATCGACCGGGCCGATGGTAAAATGAGGTCCAGCGACGCGGCCAATTCTGTACAGTACGATACTAAGGACAACCGCAGCAGAAATGCCGAGGGTCGTGGCGACAGCGGTGGACCAGCACGTGCGTTGCACGCGCAGAACGACGACGGAGTGTAGGCGGCTCGAAGCCCGCCCCACCGCCATTATTTGCCTCCCAGGCCGAATTTCATGAAGATGAGCTCCTTGCCTTTGCTGAGAATATCGCCGCCGGGCGCGGTCATCTCGGAGAACTTCTGCATGAGATTGGGTTGGTTGGGAGGTGGCTGCTGGGCGGGCTGTAGCGGTTGGGCAGCGGGCGCGGGCACGACGGCCGGACCGGGGCGGCGCGCGGGAGAGACGCTCACTGCGGCAGTGCCAGCGACGGTAGCAGTAGCGGATGAGCCGCCGAGCGGGGTGCCGACGGCGGCTGTGCCGGGCGACTGCACCGTGGGGGAGCTCACGTTACCAGCGCTCGTGCGCACGATCGTGCTCGCTGGCTGTGCGATCGCCACGCCTCTCGCCCTCGCCTATCAACCGTCAGATTTAATAGCTCCCTCAACAGAGAGGCGAGTAATTGTTATATGTTAAAAGCCTTTCCAATTTATATTCAAATCATGAAAAACTAACTCTAATTAAACTATAATTCTCTACTTTCGGATTTTGCTTTCAAAGAGAGTCTCCTTATTGCCTTCTCAGAATTATATGTAGTTAATATTTATTATACCTATTCGCATGAGATTAAATTTAAATGGTTGCTCACTCGGAGTATTTAAAATGCTTTAATATAGCGTTATTTCAAGCAGGCAATAAAAAAAAAGTCTGAATAATGACTGAATTATATGCCTTCGAAAAGAACCAAAATCATTAAAATATTAAGCAATCATACCAAAAAATGTTTCCCTATATTTTATAACTAGCATATATGAAATGTATTAAATTAAACAATAATGTTTTCATTATGATGGTTTTATAAATAAAGTACTCATCCACCGAGATACTACATGC